ACAACAACAACAACAACAACAACAACAACAACAACAACAACAACAACAACAACAACAACAACAACAACAACAACAACAACAACAACAATAAAAGTACACACGAAAATATCGCTAACCGTCTGATCGGCTGACCCCGTAGCCAGAAGAAACTCCGACCTCGGGGACCAAGCGCACGCCGAAACCGCTTCCGAGTGCCCAGACAGAGCGTGCGCAAAGGCGCCCGAGCGGATGTCGCACAAGCGCGCCTGGGGACTATCGCTCCCTGCGGCGATGAGGTGGTGCTGCCCGATGGTGGGCGACATCGACGCGGAGTAGACCTGTTCAAGAGATGTTCATGGTCCGATATTAAATAGCACCTACCTAATTATCCTTGGGGTCCATTGTATTTGAGTAGGCCTCTTTTAGGGCAAGCTTGCATGTGACCGCAGGAGTCGACAGCGTCAAGTGTTCGACTAGTACGGGCAGATGAAAGTCCTGTTGGGCAGAGAGATCGGAACGGTTTCTTGATTTGAAGACGACAACACATCGCGTTTTGAAAATCGGTCCAGGAGGTGTGGTATCTCACGTCACCGTAGGTAGTCTTATCGCTCTCGCACCTTATCCTTGAAGTCGAATTCTAGCACGACGCCGAGAGTGTTGGTGTCCCACACCTTCACGACCCCGTCCATCGCTCCGGACACGAACAGGCCGGTGTCCACCGGATACCTTTCATCGAGTTTCAGACGATGGGGTAGGGAGGTTACCAGTCGTTGTTGTTGTTGTTGTTGTTGCTGTTGTTGCTGTTGCTGTTGTTGTTGTTGTTGTTGTTGTTGTTGTTGTTGTTGTTGGTGTTGTTGTTGTTGTTGTTGTTGTTGTTGTTGTTGTTGTTGTTGTTGTTGTTGGTGGTGGCGGTGATCGTCGTGGTGGTGATAGTTGTCGTGGAAGTGAAAGTGGTGGTGGAAGTGGTGTTCCTGGTATTGAACAACCTCAATATGAGAGGTCGTGCATGGTTAACTGGGCCAAGCCAGGCCCAGCACCTCGAACACACGAACAACCGTGGTAGCGATTTTTTGACGGCGACAATGTCTTGCGACAGCAATGCAGGCAGCGTTCAAGGCTTTCGTAGCAAAAAGCACGACGTTTACCCCGGTCATTGAGAAGCAAAAATAGGTCGATCAGGTTGCACCCACGGCACCGCTTATTCAGCCACGGGCTCAACCGACGCGTTCGTTCGGATGGACACTAAGCGCACGTCTATCTCATTGTGTCTGCTAGCCTCTCTCCCTCTCTCTCTCTCTCTCTCTCTCTCTCTCTCTCTCTCTCTCTCTCTCTTCCTGTCTACTTTTGACCCTCAAACCCCTTTCTGACGCAAAACGAACCGTGCCGGTTTCATGCCACCGCAATCATCACCGATCACCCGCGGGTGTGGGAAGCGTTCCCCGTTCTCCTTTTATTTTATTTTGATCGGTCTCCTCGACGCTCTTTCTCGTTTGGTGCGGTAGCTGGTCTTTCTTTCTATCATTTTGTTTCTCATCCGAATGGTTTTTGTACCCTATTTTTTTCCATTTCTTCGTGGGGTCGTGTATGCCGGGTTTTGAGACCACGGGCTCCCAATCTTTTTTTTTTTTTAAGAGCTAATGTGAGAAACAACAACAAACAACAATAACAACCCTAGCTCTAGAGGAGAAATCCCATCAACACCCACCACTGGACCACAGAAACGCTGTGCCGGTGCCCGCCGTACGAGCCGCCGCCGCCATCGCTGCTCTGCGACAGCGGCACCCTGGGGGTGCGGCCTACCTCGCGAAGCACTTTCGGGCGCCGCCGTCTGGCTGCTACCGTCGCCGCTGCTGTGCCATTTCTTCTCGGCCCCGAGTTGTTTTCGCAGCCGCTGAGGCGAGGTCGAAGCGCGGGGCATCAGTCATCGGCGTTGTTGCCGCCGGTAATTTGATCGGTCGGTCAGAATCACTGGAAAGAGCCAGGTGAGATGTGCGTTTCAGCACGTGCTACTTACGGACAACACGCTGGGAATAGAAACATGAACCGAAAAAAAACAAAACAGCCGGTACTCGCCATTTTTCGAGGCGAGGGGGGACACTCGCCATCACGTTACTACGAGATAACGACGTAACATCGACGATACAACGGTTACACAATCTGGTCAGATAAAGTCGGGCAACTGTTGGTGCACCCCATCCGGCATATGCCGTAGGGGTGCATGAGATAACACACGCCCTACTGTAGGTGGATTTTCAAAGCTCGATTACTGCACCACGAAGAGGGTGCCACATGTTTCGGAAAGCGGCCGGCCAGACGGTTTCAACGCCGCTGATTTCGGCAGCGTCACCGTGTTTGCTGCCGAATAATCCACCTTGAAAGGTCGGTGTAGGGGGGGACGGCATCCTATGCAACATACGGTATTGATGGAACGTGGCCGCCCGCTCGACGCTGACTTTGCCAATAATAAAAAAAACTTGCTCGGTGCGAACCAGACGGCCCGGAGCCTCTGACGGTAGGCCTAGCTCTACCAGGGTAGGACTTCCACGGTATTCCTTCTGCGGTATGAGGTCCACGGCATGGGTTCCACGTTCCACGCCCCATACCTAGCCAACGACGGTCTTTTCTCGCCCGCTCCATCCAGATCAAACACCGCAACCGTGCAGTCAGCACCGCCTGTCGTGTAACCATCAGATGGGGGCACAGCCAAGCACGAGACAAGCACCCACGCGGAATGACAAGGTTGGAGAGATGAGGCTGGCTGCCGCATGTTTCGCAGTGTTGTCGCTTTCTTCACCGATCCAAACGAGACCAAATATATTACGAAACGTTTGGAATCTGATAACTTTGCCCGCGAGACAAGGGATGCATACTCGGTGGTTCTTCGATGTTGTGCTACTACGGTGTTTTCTACAGCATGGTGTCAACGCCTTTGTGGAATTGTGTGAGGGGGTAAGCACTCTTCCGTTGATGCCACGAACGTGCATCGAGGATGCTGTATTCCCTTAAGTTCTTGGGCCACACCGACTTTTATTGTCCAGATGGGATCAGGAACAGCACTGACAGCACGCAATCATATTTTCCATGTCGGAGGTCCTTCCACCGGAGAGAACTGCCGAAGAACCTTCGATGCGGGTTCAGAGAAACCTGCGCGCATGTTTCAAACTCGTGTAGAGTTACAGTCGACCCCGCTTTAAAGACACACCACGTTTTCCCCCTCCAAAAAAAGTGTCTTTAACGCGGGGAAGTGTCTTTCAAATTCCGGGGCCACTAACGCACCATCCCCGGGGTCAATGAAGGCGAAACGTATGTCAAAAGGTACGCATTCACAGCAGAAAGGCGGTGTTGTTTGAAACCTACGACACAAGGTGATTTGAAGGTCGCAACCACTGCTGCTATTGTGCTGCAATACATACTTGCATACCATCGTTTGAATTTCCCAGTACTGTACCACCAAAACGCTGAAAGCGATGGTGTATTACGACCTACGCATCGTACATGTACACGACGGTAGTGCGCTGGTGTTGATATGGGCTTAATCATATGTTTTATTATATTTTTTGAGCGTTGTCCTCCCCGTGAATATCTTGCCCAAGATCTCGCTACCGCACCTGAGAAATATCGAAGGTTGCACAGGTCCGTTCAGTAGGGTACTGATACTTCTGTAGGGTACTGGGAGAGTTACAGAGCTGTTTGTGAAATCTCCGTAGGGTACTGGGCGAGTATCGAACGTTCTGTGAAATCTCTGTAGGGTACTGGGAGAGTTACAGAGCTGTTTGTGAAATCTCCGTAGGGTACTGGGCGAGTATCGAACGTTCTGTGAAATCTCTGTAGGGTACTGGGAGAGTTACAGAGCTGTTTGTGAAATCTCCGTAGGGTACTGGGCGAGTATCGAACGTTCTGTGAAATCTCTGTAGGGTACTGGGAGAGTTACAGAGCTGTTTGTGAAATCTCCGTAGGGTACTGGGCGAGTATCGAACGTTCTGTGAAATCTCTGTAGGGNTCTGTAAAATCTCGGTAGATACTGGGGAGAGTACCGAACTATCTGTGAAATCTCTGTAGGGTACTTAGGTCTCACAGAACTCCTCTGTATGGTACACAAACAACGTACCTACAGACGAACCCGGTACTTACCCCGATAGTAGCAGCGTCACAGGACATCACGTCCTGCACCGCACAAAAGGACGTCTGCACCGCATGAAACACAATACTGATATTATACTCCGAGATCAACGTGGCTCCGTGCATTCTGATTCTACCCCACCCTACAGCGGCGCCACCATTGGTCTTCCTCATCAACTATTATTAATGAAGCTGACACGAAAAAAAAAAACAGTTTTCGAAGGAAGGTACGCAGTTCCGCTGAGGTTCTTGAAGGTACGCTAGCAGATGGAATGAATCTTTCCATACACCCACATGCAGTGTGCGGCTGCAGCAGACCGCTGTTGATGATCCAGGATCTACAGGAGCTGCAGCACATTTTCTGGGGGGGGGTCGAATGGTGGAAAACCCTACCCCCCCACTTTTTCGCATCTGCGGGGCACCATGTTTCTGAGATTTTTTGTGTCCTTAAAGCGGGGAGTGTCTTCAAAAATGGTGTCCTTAAAGCGGACTGTACCTCCTTCATGCGCCAATAAGCAATAATCGTGTCGGCGACAGCAACAAGCACAGCCCTAGCAGCAACAAAAACACAACAACCACCACCACACAAGTGCAAAAGCACAGCAGCAGCTGAAAACACGCCGCGAAATTTCCATCATGAACGGGTACGCACGTCCAGTCTGTGTTTTTTGCGTTACATTTCATAAAATTTCAACCTCACCCGTGAGAAGGTATCGTTCCTCAGCGCTGTCGACATCTAGCCAAGTGACAGGCCCATGATGCGGCGACTTTATCTCGACGTCGATGTTGAGGTCTAGCTGGCTGTGGAGAGAGAGCGAGAGAGAGAGAGAGCGCGAGAGAGAGAGAGCGGTGGGCGGGCAAAGAGGAACAAATTTGTTTCGCGGAGGACTGACTCCGTACGAAAGCAACAGCTACGTAAATTGTAAAATCCCGCTCGTCAAGCATAGACAACAGTGGCACACGCGTGTGGAACGTCGAAGCCTCACGGCGAGTGCTTGTATCTCCGTCGGCGCCAATGCCCATTTAGGAGACTCACCGCTGTAGCCGCTGTTGTTGTACTCGGGCGGTGTTCCAACTCTTTTTATCCAGAGCACACATGCATATTTCCCTCACCTCACCCGGGACGTTCGCAATTGATCCGCAGTAGATCTTTGTCTTAGGACGCCGGCCCTCCTTTTTTCCAGCGCCCGAAAGAGGGCCATAGGCCATCAAGCCAGGTATGTCGTGTACAGATAGCGGAGGGTCGCGGGACTGTCAAATGCGGGACTTCGCAGAATTGGACTGGGAGGGGTTGCATGCCAGATTAGCCCGATGCCATGATCATGGTACATAGCATGTACTGCTGCTGTCTGCATTCCACCCGGACTAGTAAATGCATCTCGAGCGCGATGGAGAGCTGCCGGCCGTCAAGGTTGAAGATGTTGTCGACATTGCGCGCGCTGCCGGAGACGTGATCATGGGCGTTTACTCCACAGATCCGAAGGTGCGTGTACAGCGGTATGACCGCTGCTGCGCCGTTTGGAAAAACGCGGCCTAACCTATCGGTACTATGCATATAATACATGTAGATATTGGTCGATGAGATACGGACAATGCGTTCTCTTCGCTCTCCTTTCCTCACCGCGCGAGCGGCCTGCCGACATGTTGTGCAATTATGGTGCTGCTTGCCCTGTACCTTACCCATGTCCCTTGCTGACCTAAAGCTAAGATTTGCTCAAACGCACCCCGTCACTAAAGCCGGCTCTGATCAGATCGACCCTGTACATCACGGATCCCGGAGCATCTGTTCAGTGTATGCTAGAGTTGGGGCGAACTTGTTCATGTGCAACATGTTCTTGTTGATGCCTGTCGGTCCAGCACATTGCATCATGCAACCAGCATGTAAGAAGCTTGTCCCTCGTGGATGTGTTGCGCCGGGTCCAAAACTGCCGAGGTTTGTCGATTTCTTTTGCACCTCGGAGCTCTGCAACGCAGGGAGGCGAATTCGAGGATGGTTTACATCTGGTACATGCGAATGATGACGCCCATGCCGCCTCTGCAAAAAACCTGTGTAAACTCGTCCTGTTGGCTCGTCTGTTCCTCCGGATACTGCACGCCATGCACAATCTCTTCTCTACGATCTGTCAGACGTGGGAAAGTCGCTCCAAGTCCGATGACACCCCGGTAACGAAAGCAGACGTCATGGCAGACGAGCTCATCTGTTCGAGGCTACGCAGCGCGTACCCTGATATCCCTATGTGAGGAGGCTTTGTGCGACGACGGGATCAGAACGAAAAATAAGTTACCGGGATGTGCTGTATTGCTATGAATTCATACCACCTACTCTTTGTTAGGTGTTCTCGTGAGTAGGCTTCAACAGAAGCCCAGTATCCAGCAGATTTTCTCAACACGCGCTGCTCTGAAGAAACCAACACATCCCTTCGATTGGGGCAATATCTCGAACGGTGGATAGTCTTTAGATTGAATGTAGCATATTTTCCAACAAATGAAAAATTCTGTTGCCGCGGGGACAATACGTACACGGCGGCGGGGTCGCACAATATGTTTTGTGCCTTCTCATGCCACGGTCTTCACGGGCTGAACGATTTTTGCAAGGTCGACGACTTTTCGGTGCCGCATATCTCGCCGTCTGCGGTTGGCTCGCCCCCATGTTTTGTTTTATGGACAGCGTATGCGCGCCCACGTTTGTGCTTACTTTTCGCGTGTGTATCCACGCGTTGTGTTGCTCGGAGAATATCGGAGGAGAGCGAGAAACTTCCCTACGAGGAGCGCCGAGGACACGACTATTGCTGGGTGGTTGATCCTTTGGATGGAACGAAGGTAGGTTTTCCCCTATTTTTGTTTGCCATTTCCGGGGTCTGTGTCCCTCCTCTGCCGTGTTGACGGCTCGTTGCATCGTGCGTCCAAGTGTGTCAGGGAGGGGTGTTTGATGCCGTGTGAAGACGTCTTTTGCGGTGTCCGACGCTTGTGTCCGAGGCCGTGCCGCCTGCCCTCTCGGGCGACTTTTTTCTCCTTTCCATGTCTGTCTCTGTCTGTCTGTCTGTCTGTCTCTTTCTGTCTTCCTGTCTCTGTCTCTGTTTGTCTCTGTCTCTCTCTCCCTCTCCCTCCCTCTCTGTCTCTGCCTTTCTCCTCTAGCTGTGTGGGTATCCCTCCTCCTTGCCTCTCTCCCTTCCTCCCTCCCTCTGCACGGCGAACATCACATGATCCGAGAACACATCTCCCGTAAACTATACGCCTACATAGCCACCGCCGTACATGTACGCCCACGTTATTATGCTCCGCGGTGCGTTAGCGTTTCTACACATGCCCTCTTCGTCTACCTCGCTGGCACACTTCGTCCCATCTCCGCCGGTGCCCCCTCCCAAATGCAGGAATTCGTCAAGCGCACCGGAGATTTCGCGTTGATGATTGGCCTTTGCTTTCACGGGAAGCCGGTCCTCGGAGTCGTCCACGCGCCGGCACAGGAAACACCCAAGACCTATTACGCCGCATCCGGGCAGGGGGCGTTCGTCTTGGAAGGCGGCCGAGAGCTGTGCGGGGAGGGGCTCGGGAAGAGCAAACGCATCAGGTGACAGGTTTTGTCCGCCCCCGCCTCCTTGCTATATATTTTTTTTTCTCCCATCATTGGACTCTGTCGTCTGCCCCTCTGGCCCCTATCCTCCACTTCTACTAGCTAGACGACCCTACCGGGGTCACATAGGAGGGGGGGGCTGGACCCCCTCCTGCGGTTCCTGCCTGAGGTATTTTTTATCGCGAGAAGGGTACAGCAAGCCCTTCCCTCGCGACTTACGAAGTCGATTATGGTTTACTAACAACGAGCTTTGCAGCGCGTCGCTTTCATCCTAGACCAGCATTTATTTAGTGAGAGAAAAACTCACTCTGCCGGGACTCGAACCCGTGACCTGGCCCTTAACAGGCTGCGAGGTTATCCACTAGACCACCGGGGCGACCGGTGTATAATGTGAGGGCCTGGTCCAGTGAGAACCCGGTGTCCTCCGTCCGAGCTTTGTAGGGATGCGAGGTCAATATTCTAACGACTTCAGCATGCACGGCGATGAGTACACCCCTGGGGGCGCGGTGGGGGTGATGGTTGACGTGCCCTGTGGTAGATCGCCCGGGCGGGGTACAGTACCCCAATGTTTCCGCCGGCCGCTCGCCTGCGCGTATCGCGATCCTGTTGATGTTCACAAGCCTTCCACTCTTTTTGCCGCTGCGGTCTGGATGCGACGGCGGCGGGTTTGATTTCCATCATGTGTGGTGTCTGCCAGCCCTCAGGGTGGCCTCCTTGGCCGAGGGTTCCGTCGCATGAAGGTATTGGCCGTTTTGGGGGGAGGGTTGGCAACTCGCCGGGGCCCCTCACTCCCACGGTGGATGCCCACGGTAACTGCCCTATGATTTTTCGCGTTTCTCGCAGCGCACGGACCTTTGGCGTGCGCGACTCTGGGTTGAGGCTGGCGGTGTCGAGTTCCAGGCCCCCGCGGGAGTTCATTGCGTCATGTGACAGTCCCGTGGTGAGAAATTTATATTCCGTCGCAACCTGACTTTTTTTTTTTGCTTTCGATCGGCTTGTACCCCGTCGTAGGCGATTTGTTTTGCGACTAACTTTCCTTCCATAGTTTCAGTGCCAAAACCCCTAATCGCCTACAAAATGACGGTGCAATCGCCTATCTCTGGAGTACGATACAAGCCCAGCTTCAATCAGCTGTCTCTACGCTGAACCTGGCGACTTCTGGCTCGAAAACAGCAGCAAGAGAGGGCAGGTAGGGCGCTCACAGCGCGGGTATCGTTGTCGGGCGCACAGCAACAACGTAACGATAGGCACGGGATCCACCGCATCTCATTGGCTATATCAATCCATGCACTTGATTGGTTTCCCCCGTTTTGGCAATCCACCTGTAGCCAAGAAGTTCTCAACACCTTGCTCGCCGACGTGCCCTTTGCGCCCCCGTTTCACCGAAGCTGTGAATTGAAACCAATGAACGGTTAATAACAATTTCAGGGACTCTGCCTCTGTGTGTTGAGAAAGGGTATTATCATGGAGGCAAACCTCACAGGATTCAATACATCCCTCCACCCCCCCCGCCATCGGTGTTTGCCATCGGGATTGGGTTTCCGGCGCTTGGCAACGACGTTGTAAAACAACCCAATTCACTTCGTGAACTCGGCAAACAGGTTGCCTTTTT